CTGTCTCCAGTGTTCCACCTTTGAACCCTTTGCTCAGGACGGTCTAGCCCTGATAGACTTCCTCCTTTATGATTTTCCCCAGTGTCCTTAGTTCCAAGCTCAGGAAATGCTGGTCTTGGCTGCACTGGGAAGAAAATGCTGAGGAGCTAGAGGAGGGTGGAGTCCTTAGGGATGTGGGCTTTGGAGTCCAGCAGACCCGGGTAGAACGTGGGGCCCATGCTTGCTGAGCCTTGCTATGTGCCAGGTGCCGTTCTAGGAACTTTGTGGGATGTAACTCATTTGGCCTTTGGGATAATCCTGTGGAGTAAGTTCCCTTATTATCCCCACATTCTGACTGAGGAAATGATGGTGGGAAGGAGCAAAATGTTTGCTCAGGTTATTGCTCACGACAGCTTTGAAGCAGCTATGGGGGTTCAGACCCAGGTAAGCTGCCTCCAGGATTCTTGCACTCAGCAAGATGCTGGGCTCAGTGTCCTTGCATACTGAAAGCAGAGGTATCACTGTGGTTCGGGCTAAATGTAGAAACACATGTTATTGACCTTGGTGCCTGGCGCCTAGCAAGTGCTCAGTAAACTTGAACTGGAAAAAAAATCAGGCTCCACCCTAGGAGGAATCTGTTTCTTATGCCTTATTATTTTATTTTATTTTTGGTGAGTAATTGCTTTTCTGCTCGCAGGGAAGAAACCCTAGGAAAGAATGGAAAAAGTAGATGGGAGGCAGCTGAATTCTAGGCCTCTGAGCCTCACGGGAACCTAGGTGCTCAGAAATGGGAATCAGAATTTTCATCTTTTTTCACATCTGGGGAACTATAAACCATGTTCTTTTAAATTTGTCTTTCTCCTGCTTTTCTCTTCTTTCTTGTGCTTTTCAAATTAAGTGGGCAAACTTAGTGTGCCAGATTATGGTGCAGGAAAAGTATCCCTCTGTGATTCTGGTCTGTGTGTCTCTGATGCCTTGATACTTTTTTACTCTCAACTTCTGAGGATAGTTGTTGATAAGATGAACCTCCTGTGCCCTGGGGAGGAGAAAGTCATTGAGTTCTGTCTCGTCCTTGTCTCCTTGAATCAAACTCCATGTCTAACCCATAGCAGGTTTCCAAAGAATTAACTAGTGGGGTTTCTGCTCTCAGTTTTCTTTCCTTTTTTTCTGGTGACGGGGAGAGTGTGTCTGTTTCATGGGGAAGCATCTGCCAAGTTCCCCTGGAGATGGCATCATCAAGACAGAGGTGTGGGGACCCCTTCCTCTCAGTTCAGCTGAGGCAAGGGTAGGGTTGTCCAAACTTGGTTTCTTTGTACACCAAGTACAAGCAGAATGGATTAAATGGGGAGTGTGGAAGTGGCCCTGGCCCCCTTTTCTCACCTCCTTCTGTTCTCTGTCACCTTAGGACAAAGGTTCTCAGGTGACCAGCCTGGATGGGCAGGTTCCCAGGGCTTTCTGTCACCCTGACCCCAGCCTACTTCCTGATGTGCCCTGCTGGGGACTCCCTCCTACCATTCCTTCTCAGGCTTCAGGCCATCCATGGTGACCTTGGCAGTGATTATTGTTCATATTAGAATCTTTGGGACTTGTTTTTGAATAGGACTCTATTCATGTGGTTCCAACCGTTAAACCTCTAACAAGGTACACAGTGGATAATCTCTCACCCGCTTCCCAGAAGCCCAGTTCCCATAACCTCCTCCTCAAAGATAAGTATTGTAACAGTAGCTAATAATTCCAGAGTTTCTTCCTGCCCTTGTAAGGAGCTCATCTGGAAACACAGCTGACAACATGGGTCCCTATATATGAGGTCCCTAGCCTGGACTTGGGGGTCTGATGGGGTGGGATATCTGTTGGCCAGCATCTCCCTCTAACTTCAGGAAATACCGTTTGCTAAAGTGTTGCCTTGTTTAAATTTCAGTGACAGCTTCAACCTTCTCCAATTCCTTGCCTGGGGGCACCGAGAGGACACCCGATCCAGTGCTTTTATATGCGATTTTTAAAAACACATGTGTTTTTTGTGTTAAAAAAAAATCAAAGTGTCATCTATTTTGGTTTGAAAGGCCTACTGGAAACCAAATTATACAGCTCATCCAGACTCAAACAGCAGGTTGTCAGAGCAGAATTAACCAATGAATTTCCAGGTATTATGTAAATAAAAATACGTATTCCTGTTTTTATCCTCTCTTTCCACAAGGCCCCTTGGTGTACGCACTATTCTACATCTTATTGTCTTTATGCTTAATATAACTTACATATTTTCATATTGTTGCTTACAGTACTTCTTGTTTTTTTTAACAATTGCAAAGAATGCCATTGTATGGATGAACCATGATTTTTAAATTAGCTCTTTACTTGATTCCTATTTGGCTACAGTGAAAACTGTGCATATATGTGGTGACCCTGCCTCATAACCTGCTCAGACAGAAGATAGTGTTTTGTAAGGGATGGGGCAACACGGCATATTGATTTGCCACCTAGGACAATAAAGTCTTGACATAGGTTATCAGATGGGTCTTTTTTGCTCAGATAACTCTATCCATCACTCTGAAGAGGGTCTTGAACTCAGGGTTGGTTAATAGGATGAGCATGTGATTCTACTGTAGTCCACTACATTTCAAGTGTCTAAAGCAGGTTCCACCTCTGTGTCTGGCTCTGGAGTAGTAAAGAAGTAATTGTCACAGTATCCGGATGGTAGAGAAGTTCTCTTCCCATTCCACTGTGTTCTTGTCCACATCCCTTCGCCCCTGGGACAGCTGATTCTAGCTCCAGGGCCCTTTGGCTAAGTCTGTCTTGGCAGTTGTATCAAATCCATTCTTGACTTCTTTCCTGTATCAGCTGATCTGACCTACAGCTTAGCCTTCCTGACGCGCTCTGTGGTTTGCTTCAGCCCTGGCAACCATGAGTGGGTGCTGCACCCACACACCCCATAGGGAGCAGCTTCTTCTGCTCTCCCTGGAGGGAGCCAGGGAGGCTGCTGGGGATCTTCAACTGGGTGGCATCACACACTCCCTGAGTACCACTGTACATGTCCCAGGACAGCTGTCACTTATGAAGCCATGTCCAGCTCCAAGTCACAATCATCATGCCAGCCAAGATCCTGCCGCCCTGTTGCTCCAAGAAGTGCCCTCATTCTGGATCTTGAAGGTCTCTCCTTCTCCTTGACTGCCTTCTCTTTCCATCTTTCCAACAGCACCAGGGGCACAGTGCTTTCTGAGCCCAGGTTCCAGGACCCCAGTTCCACAGTGTGTCCTTAGCATGGTGAGCGCCCAAGCCAACCTTGTAAACCTCCACGGCAAGGGGCCATTACCAGGACTTGTTTTTCTACTTTTTCATGAGCTTGGCTTCTTTGTGGTTTTGAGACTTCCCAGTAGCCACCATGGCTTTGTTAAGAGGTGTTTCTCTCTCCTGTGGTCAGAAGCAGACTCCTTATCTCTTCTTCCTCCCTCTATGTGGGGCTGTTTCCTAGGGTGCTGTTTCCTGTCCTAGCCTCAGCCTGGAAGACCAGCAGGGACCCACCTGCTCTTAGCGCAGTGACTTTGGATGAAGATTTCCCCATCCCTGACCAGATCCGGGAGAACCCCTGGGGTGTGTGGAGAGGGTAGCCCTCTAGGGACCTGCCATTAACTTGAATCTCAAAATGTTCCATCTACCATGGGACATATTTTCTGCTGAGGCAAAAGGAAGATATTTTTCTTGTTCAACACGTGTTTGCATCTTTCCGGGGCTCACTCTTAAAATTTTAGATCATGAGTGTTTCCCTCTTTTCTCAGTATTCTTTTGCTTGTTTTCTGCACATAACAACATCTGGCTGTAACAACCTCCCGTTCAGCCTTCAGTGACATGTGCCAGCATGTTTTGGGGAGTTAGTTCATACTCAGGGTTGTCAGAAGTTTGAGCATTTGCTCTTCGAGACCCAGAGCTGGTGGGGTGAGCAAAGGAAATCATTTGAAGTCGTGATGATCTTATTCCCACAAGAACACATTGGACCTTGGGAACCAGTTATTCTTGTTTTTAGCTTCTTCATCTTCTCTGGATTGATGTATCGACGCAACAGTAGGGATGATCCCTTTATTTGTCATAGGGAAATGAGATCGGATGCCAAACTCCCAATTTTTTATTTTCATTTTTTAGCACTTAAGACTTTGGAAATACCTTGTGAGTATATTTATTGAAATGCTATTTATCTCTACCCCTCTCCACACACATGAATAGAAACATAGAGACTCCACAGGGGTCTTGTCTGTCTTGTTTACCTTTGTACTCCTGGTGCCATGATGTTATGTGGCAAATACAGGACAGCGCAGTAAATGTCTCGCCTGGGTCAATAGAATCTCTGTTCTTTGTGGTCCATTTTGAAAACGGCCTCAGACCCTCTGTGATCAGTGGTGAGACTGCCCGAATCATGGTGCCCAGTTGAATGTCAAGTCTGGGTATCTCCGATGGATTTGGAGGAGAGACAGATGGGGTTATGGGAAAAGATGTTGCAGAAGGTCTGGGCTCCAGTTTTGGCTCGGCCCCTATTTGGGGCACGTCTCTGAGGCCCAATTTCTTTATGGGTACAGGAGGAATAATAATTACACCCTCCCACATACACACCAAATCATCGGTTAAAGAATGTGTGAAAAGCACGTCTTACACTATGAAGGGCTCTATAAACGTGGAAGGTTGCAAAATGCTGTGTCTGTCTTCTTGCTTTTTTCTTTTTTCTTTTTTTCACCAAAGTCGGGTGTTCTGGCCTGCCCCAGCTGGCTCTGTTAGAATTGGGATTTCCTGCAGCTGCCCTCTGCTGACGGTCACCCTTACAAAGCAAACTAATGAGCAAATCTCCTTCTAAGATTTCACAGCTGTGATGACCTTGGGGATGGAGGTCATTACTAGGACCCAGGAAGGTGCCCTCCCTGCTCAGGCTGGGCCTCAGCCCTTATGCCACTGGTGAGCACATTGTCATGGCCCTACTTTGGGAACTGGTCACTATGAGCTGTATCACCGAGGCCTGCTTGACAGTGTTTCTCTCTCCCCAGGCGCCTGCTGAAGAGTGAACTTGGGTCGTTCATTACAGACTATTTCCAGGTAAGCTGGGTGCATCTGAGAATCCATCACTATCACACATGTGGGACCACGTAGCTGAAGGGCCATGTACTCTTCACCTGGGTGTTCTTCAACACCCACACCCACATACACACCGCGCCACGCAGGGCTGCTGCTGCGAGGGCACCAGGTGACCCCTGCAGGTAATGGAGACTCCAGCCACCCCCCTGCAGTTGTGCTCGGGCTGTTTGGTCCCAGAACCCCTTTATGCTCTTAGAAATTGCTGCTTATTCAGGTTATGTCTGTCAGTCTTTCTCATACTAGAAATTAAGCCCAAGAAGCTTTAAAATATGTCTTAATTCATTGAAACCGATTACATTGTCATAAATATCACTTTTATGAAAAACAGCTTTTCCAGAATTAAAAAATAGTGAGAGGTTGGACACCGTCTTCTGTGTTGGGAAATCTCAGTGCCATCTGGCTTCCTGGAAGATGGATGGATTCTCCTGTCTGCTTCCCTTTCAGTCTGTTGGGAATAGTGCAGGTCACGTGGGCTCTGGGAAATTCCACTGTGCCGTCAGGGAGAGGCAAAGGCAGCTAATAGCTGTGACCATGTGGGTCCCTTGAAAGGTCTGGAGGAGCCCCCCAGGGCCCCCAACCACACCCTGAGAATTCCTGCTCTCAGGGTATCCCCTCCCACTCCTGTGGGTGACAGCTAGTTGGGTGTAAGAGCATGTGCCCTTTAGCCAGCTATTTCCTGTCACAGGCTCCTGGGCTGCTCTGTTGAAGGCAGGATTGGATTAGACGTCAATCTTCCCTCCTGCCTACACACTCTTGTGGGGCTAATGAGTTCAAGGTTCCAGATCCATTTAGAGGATCATTTTTAATCCACAGACACAAGCTGCTTTCCTGAATAACCCAAGGCGAGTATTGGGGGGGGGGTGCAGTGGTGGAGACATGAACAATGGTGACTGAGTGGGTGACACTTCAGTGAAGTTGGAGTCCCCACCTCTCACTGTGTGCTGAGTGGGCTGGAAAAGCTGCTTTATCTCTCTGTGCCCCAGTTTCCTCATCTGTGAAACAGGAATAAAATACAGCTTACCTTATAAGGTTACTGTATGGTTTGCATGCAATAACACACTTGAAGCCCTGGGCACCTAGCATGTCAGGAGCTGAAGCTAGTGATCAAGATTATGGACCTTTGAGGCAGACTACATGAGTTCAGAGCCCAGCATAATTGTTCACTAGCTGTGTGGCCCTGAGCAGGTTGCTTTACCTCTCTGTGTTTTAGTTTCCTTTTCTGTAAAAAAAGGGGTAATAGGACCTAACCTTATAGGGTTGTGATAAAGACTAAAGATAAGTTATTTATAAAGTGCTTAGTTACTGCCAAAAAACAGGAGAGAGAGTAATCATGTTTATTATGTGAGTCCTGTGTGTGTGTGTGTATGTGTGTGTATATGTGTGTGTGTGTGTGTGTGTGTTTTGTACCAGGGATTGAACTCAGGGGGACTTAACCACTGAGCCACATCCCCAATCCTTTTTTAAAATATTTTATTTAGAGACAGAGTCTTGTTGAGTTACTTAGGACCTCACTAAATTGCCGAGGCTGGCTTTGAACTCGTGATTCTCCTGCCTCAGTCTCCAAAGCTGTTGGGATTATGGGAGTGTGCCACCGTGCCCAGGTTAACGCCTTCTTTTTAGTGGAAAAATAAGAGCAGTGCTTAAGGATCTTGGTTTCAGGTGGGTTCCAAGTGGAGCATACTTTTTAAGACAGTTTAAAGACATTTCAAATTTTAAAAAACAGTGCAGTCTCCATTATATTATTTTTCTTTCCAAGATTCAGGAAGCTTAAACTTTTATGTACACTTCAAAAGAATGACAAATATCAACCAAAAACTGCCTCCTCTAAGTGGAGACAAACCAGGACCCAACAGAAGCCTGGGGTTTGATGGGGTCAGACTCCTGTGCAGGGGGAGAGAAGCATGAAGAGGAAGAACCAGACAGAGAATTAGTTGCAGATGTGAATCATTTTTGCCCTTGACCCGGAGGTCAGCCTTGGGCTCACTGCCTGCTGCCTCTGTGGATTGACTTCTCATCCAGTTACAGACAGTGGTTTTTCATTGTCTTGGAGGGGCCCTCTGGGCTGGGCTGCCTTCCTCCTTGACCTTTGAAGGAGACGGGTTTGGTGTGGTTTCAATCAGGTTTTAAATGTCAGCGTCTCTTGGCGTTGGGGGCTACCCTAGGTCGGGTGGGGAGGGATGTTTGGGTGGGGACTTTATCTGGGAAGCCCTGAGGTTTTTTGGGGGCGGTTAATACTGCTTACAAAGCATGCCAGGCATTGAAAAACTAATAACCACTTGTGACTTCCTATCAGGGGCTTAATCAGAGAGGCTGCTTGGTGAATATCTACCAAATCTCTTTCTGGGTGTGGGGGTTGGGGGCTGGGTTTAGTAGGGTTTTGTTTTTTTTTAATTATTATTTTGGGTACCAGGAATTGAACTTAGGGGCACTCAACCACTGAGCCACATCCCCAGCCCTATGTTTTATATTTTATTTAGAGACAGGGTCTCACTGAATTGCTTAGTGCTTTGCTTTTGCTGAGGCTGGCTTTGAACTCACTATCCTCCTGTCTCCGCCTCCCAAGCCTCTAGGATTAGGTGTGCACCATCGTACTCAGCATGGTTTTTGTAATTTTGAATCTGGGATTTTTCTTATTTAAGGAAAGAAGGCTCTTGAAGACATGACTTTTTCAAAATGTGGGTGCAGAACCTTTGGTTGCTTTTTAAATATTTGGTTCCTCACTCTCTGTAGAGTGCATAATAGATTCTTAGAAGAGCAGGGAGGGGCTGTTTACCAGAGATTCCCCAAATGATTACAGGTGACACAACACACAGTGGCACTGGATAATGTTAGAGTTTGTGTTTCAAAAGTATTCCCATTTTAAAATTTTCCTTTAGCCCTTATGATTGTGCTGGAGATTCTTGGGCCGTGTCATGTGTCTTGTGCCCTTCTCTGGGACTCAGCAACCTCCTGTGTTTAAGGAGGGAGTAGGAGCAGGCCTCAAATGTGGTGCCTGTGCTAGGGACATGGTCTAGTTAGGATTTTGTAACATTATTTGTTTGCATTAAGTTGATCATTGAATGATACTGTGCTTATGGTAAATGACGTGCCTACAATTTCCTTTTAAAACACAGTGACATTTAAAAAATGGCTTGGTGGTGCACACCTGTAATCAGCTTTGTAGGAGGCTGAGGCAGGAGGATTCCAAGTTTGAGGTCAGCCTGGGCAACTTAATGAGACCCTGTCTCAAAATAAAATAAAAAGGGCTGGGGAAGTAGCTTAGAGATAGAATGTTTCTGGGTTCCATTCCCGGTAACAACACACACACACACACACCCATGCACGCACATACAAAGTGAGTGACTGGATTTAAGAAAAACAGTATGCAAAGAATAATAGGGTAAGTGGCCCCGACTATGGCCCCATATGTGGAAGTGGTTCAAGAGAGTTGGGTTAGAGCCCAGGGCCAGGTGCTACTTGAAAAGGAGCTGGTTCAAAGCCATTCCCATTTCAGGAGAAATCTCCATGTGAGGAGGGCAGTCCAGGCTCACAGGGGCAAGCTGGCCTTCAGCTACCATTGAGAGTGTCAGGAAGGAAAGCTAATAACGGCTCGGGAAAGAACTTCCCCCAGCAAGAGGACAAGAGGAAGGTGTAGGGGCAGAGGAGCAGCAGAGCCCAGGGTGGGCAGGGAAGTCACCCCAACTGTGGATATGGCTTCGTGGGAAGGTGAAGGATGGGTGCTGGGCTCCTCAGTGCCGATGGGTGCCCCCCAGGCTCATGCATTCAGCAGTGAGGTCTGTCCCCTCTGGGACCCGCCTTCCAGCTCAGCTCACCACCTGCAGAGCCACAGAGAGGCTCTGCGCATTTTCATTTTACAGTTTTAAAGAAAGATTCATAGAAAGAATAGCCGCCTGTGAAGAATAATTAAAATGACCTGAGGTGAGGGCACGGGAAGCAGGTAAAAAAATGGTACTTATCTTGGGTCTGCACACAGAGAAGTCGGGCTGTTTGATCCACAGAAGCCTGGAAAGATTTCCACGAGACACTGGCTGGAAAAATCTCTGACATTTCCAGTATCGATTTTTTCTTTTCCTTCTGTCTGTTTTGAATTGTGCCCGGAAGGAAAATTAGGGCTTCCAAGTGGAACTCTATATCCTAGCGCCAGCTCCGGAGGATAATTGGTCCCTTATAACTTTTGAAACTGATGATGTGAAACGTTCTGCATTATTATTATTATTTTTTTAATTTCCTAGCTGGGTATCTTGGTGCTTCAGGCATGCGTTGTTTGTTAAAGGCCTCTCTTCTGCCCCAGAAAGTTCCAACCCTTTTGTTGAAAGTAGAGTTTTGTTGGTACAGAAATTTGTGTAGAATCTGAGTGAGCTAGTTCTAGGAAGAAGGGAAATTTAGTCAGCCATTTGCCAGTAGGTCATAGGTGCCATGTAGTGTGTGGTATATGTATGTGTGTGTGTGTGTGTGTGCCTATGTGTGCATATATAACACATACAAAAACATATAGTATTTTTTTCAATTTGCTTCTCACATCTGCAAGAGTCCCAGGAAGCCAATTTCCCCTGGCTCATCAACACCAAAGAATATTAAGGACATATGGCATCTGGCATGGAGCTAAAGGAGGAGACCCCTAGGAAGCATCCTGGTGACCATGGAGTTAAAATTGGAGACAGCACAGGGGTAAAGATGCATCTTCATGGGTAACGCACAGCACAGCCTGAATTGAAGAACAGGTTGGATGGCAAAGATGTAAAAACAGGTCCAGCAAAACCCTCGCTACAAAGCCTCCCTGTTCACGGAGGAGGAGGCGAGCAGTACAGGCAGGATCTAATCAGGGAGCTAGAAATACTGAATTCTACCTCAGAGGACACAGCTGCCTCCGATGGCTGTGACTCAGGGCCCCCATTGAGACACTCTGGCGGAGGGGAGAGCCCGTGGTTGTTGGTGGCCAGGTGGAGGGGTGAGACGGGCGG